TTTGAGGAAGTAGGCGAGCATGTGCTCGGCCTGCGGCCGCTCGGACTGGTCGATCTTGGCCCACTCGCCGTCGTAGATGTCTCCGAAGTCGGCCTTGGCGTGCCGTCCGACGATTTCGAGCACGGGCGCGTGGAGCATGATCGACCGCGTCCAGGCCCTGAAGAGGGCCTTGTTCGCGTCATGGACGCCGCTCTGCGGCGTGAAGATGACGACGTCTTTGAAGAGCTTGTTCAGCTCGACGATGCTGAGGAGCGTCGGCTCGTCGTCGCCGTCGCCGCCGCCGGCCGCGCCCGCGCGGGTCCGCGGCGGCATTGTAGGAAGGCGGGGTGCTGGTGTCCTCGCCGCTGCGCCGCGCGCGGTCCGCGCGGGCGCTGGTGGGGCCTGGACCGGAGCGCGGTGCGACGCCGGGCTCTGCGGCGGCGCGCGCTCTGGCTCCAGGGGCTATCCGCCGCTCGCGAGCGGTGGATCTGCTGCGGGCGGCGCGCTCTGCGCGCAGGCTCGCAGCGGTGTAGCTGCGCACAGCTAGCAGGTGTAGCGCGGTGGCTCACAGCGCGAAAATGGGGACATAACCCAGATCAGAGTGAGACTGCGTTACGGGTATCCTAGGCGTATCCTGGCTCCTCTGTAGACCCCTCGATGGTGAATCTACCGGTCTCGATCCCAAGGAACATGTTAGTTGCGACTCTCGAGGCCGGCACTTCCACTTTAGCCGACCCGATTCGCCGAAAATATGCCTATTTTACGGCCGCTCGACGAGCCTCGAAACAAAGAATACGGCTTTTCGGGCACTTCTGGTGCCAAAAACCTATGGCTAGATGGCATCACGGACAGCCCCATCGACGGAACCAACCTCCTAGAGCCGCCGGTCGAAGCCTCTCGACTCAAAACTGCCGCCGTAGGGCCGGTTCCGTGCCTCGAGATCCGCCTCGTACTCGATTCGGGCCCCCGCCGACCCGTAGGTGGTCGAGATTCCTGTGTTATTTGGTGCGGCTAGTCGCCCACGCCCCGGGGGGGCTTCGATCCGCCGAGAGGACGAGAAGAGACGACTCAAAANCG